TGCCCTCTGGGGCCCTGCTGGCTCCAAGAGGGGCCCTAAAAAGGGCCTCCATAAGGGCAATTTCCTTCAACCCCCCCATGTGGGCCCCCCCCCGTCGCCACCCGACCGACCTCCTCCCCTCGCCATCGCTCGGACCTCCATTCCTCGTGTATTTTTTGACTTCGTGCGTGTTTTTTTTTTCGCCAAATGATCAAGGATGGTCCTCGATGGCCGTCGCCGAAAAAAAAAAACGCACACGTCCGAGCGATGCCAAGTCCCGAGGGGAGGCGCCCGGGGCGCCGACCCGTCCCGCGGCGCGTGCAGGCTGGCCCGAGGGGGAGCTGTCTTGAGCCAGCGGCTGCGGCGGGCGGGGCAGCGGGAGGGGCAGCGGGTGCAGCCGAGCACGGCCGCGTTGCAGCCGAGCACGGGAGCAAGAGGGCCATCGTTCCGGGCACCTGGGCGACCAGAGAGAGCACGGATCCTACGCGAGATGGCGTGGCGACCTTACGCGGTGGCTTGCGCGGACCGCCCGCACGGTACACCACGCTGGAAGCGAGGGCGCTTGCGCGCGACCGTACGCGAGCAGCTTACGCGCCAATGTCGGCGAAGACGACCGCGCTTATTTTTGTTGCGTCACCCATCTGTGCCAGCTTCCCGGAGGTCCCTTCAAACAAGCCTGGGCCTATGTCTGCTGTTTCTGCTGGAAGGGCGAAGGTGCTCAACAGAACCTGGATCTGGGCCGGCGTTCCGGCATGGCCAGCTGGCTCGGACTCGCAGGCCTCTGGCACGTGCGCACAGCCATGGTGCGTGTGGGGGGGGGGCTAGCATGGCTCCCTCCTCCTCCTCCTCCTCCTCCTCCTCCTCCTCCTCCTCCTCCTCCTCCTCCTCCTCCTCTCCTCCCTCCTCCTCCTCCTCTCTCCTCCCTCCCTTCTCCTCCTTCTCCTCCTCCTCCTCCTCCTCCTCCTCCCTCCTCCTCCTCCTCCTCCTCCTCCTCCTCCTCCTCCTCCTCCTCCTCCGCCTCCCCACCAAGGCGAAGGGGGGCGGAGAGGGGACCGGACAGCCGGGCGGCGTAACTTTTTGGGCAGGAGGGCCCAGAATCGGATGGGCGATCGGAAAGAATCGGATCGGCGGAAGTCGACAGTCAAGTCGGGAAACGTCGAATCGGCGGAGGTCGGCCCGCAAACAAGGCCTTCAGTGGGAAACCGGAACCAAGATCGGAATCTGAATATGACATAGAATCGGATCGTAATCGGAATCGGTCGAACACACATCGAATCGATTCGGAGGAGTCGAAATGAGCTTTGGTTTGGGGAACGGAGAGGAGATCGGATAACCGGGCGGCGTGGCATCCACACGGGACTGCGGAAAAGATGCTGCGTGAGACAAGCCGGTGGAAGTGGGCGGGAGCGCGGCCAAATACTAAGCCACACGGGGAATCGAAATCGCACCGGGACGGGGAGAGCCCGTGTCTGCAGCCATCGTGGTGAGAGCTGCGAATCTCGAGTCCCGAGTCACAACGCGCCTCACCGCCAGCCTGGCGCCCCACCCCCACCAGGGGTCCTTCGCTGCAAGGAAATTCGACGTCCTTCGGCCGCATCGCGGATCGACGAACTCCAGCCTCTGCGGGACCCCCCCCCCGCGGCGGTCACCACGGGGGCCGCAGCCCAGCGAGCGTGCAGCAGCGACCCCCTGCGGGAGGAAGCGCAGTCCTCGTGCTGCCAGAGGGGGGCGCTGGATAAGGAACGAAGGCGTTCTTCTTCTGGCCACGGCGAGCCTGGGCTTCGAATATGCGGCTCCCAAGAGTACACACCACCACCACCACCACCACCACGTCGATTCCTCCTCCCTTCTCTACCTTCTTCTTCCTCGCCTCTTCCCTGGGAAAATGAAGGGGGTGAGGGAGGTGGTGGTGGTGTATGTGTGTGTGTGGGCCCCAACCCGACCTGAACCCAAGAAGCGGCCCGAAAACCAGAGCCCCTCCTGAGCTCAAAGTGGTCCTGACCTCCGCCTAGAAGGCAACTTCAAGAACGACCACGGGCTACGAAGCCCGATGCATTGAAAGGGCCATTGGGCCATAGTGAGCGGGACCCAACCTGGGATTCAACCGGACGAGGCGGGATTAGGCGGGACTACGACGGATCAGGCCAGCTTCCGACCACGGATGTAACAGCGCCTATAGAGCCGCGCGATAGATTAGCGCCGCTGCTGAATACAACCTCCCTGGAGTTGCATTCTAACTTAATTAGCGTCCTGGCTGCACGGCAAGGCCGACGCCTCGAGTCGGCTGTGGCACCCCCGATGCTGCCAGCCACGCGGTGGCGGCCACGTGCGCTCGCCACCCAGACCCACCGACGTCACGAGTTGTCCATGGCGTGGACCCCTGGCGGCCTGGACCCAGTCATGGGGGATCCGTTTTTCACCCCGAGTCCTTTGGCATGGCCCCGAGGGCCCAACAAAACTCCCCGGGAGCCAGCAACAGAAGCACGGACTCCCGACCCGGTGTCTCACGACCCGAGGGGGC